AGAGAGAGAGACAAGACAGACCAGGAGAGAGACAAGTAGGACAAAGAAATCACATGACTTTTTGTTTTTGTTTTTAGTTGGCATGCAAGAAAGGAAATGAGAAAGGCAGGAGTAATCGTGCAGGATGAGGGGAGGGAGAAGGGAGAGAAGCACCAATGAGGGGGAGAGCCGGGCCTATGATTCTTGGCTAAGGTCTAACTATGCTGCAGGCCAGCCATATGAATACAACCACCATGCTCTCAAATAGCACATGTGGATGGATGGCTTTTGAGAATGACAGCCCACTGTGTGGCTTGGGGCCTTCTGAACTGATTTAGCATAGTTGAGCCATAGCCTCAGGGGCCCTTCTTCATCATCAATGGGACCTGGAGTTGAGGACTCTGTGTGTTCCTAAATCCAACTGAGGCCCTTTTTTCTCTCCTTCCTCTCATCTTGCCCCATACTTGGCCCCCTACTCCTGTATTTTTTTCTGGGTCCTTCTCTTACTTCATATTTTAAAAAAGTGAAACAAGGAAAATAAAAGAGGGCCTGTTGTTTAAGTATCTTCTGTACGAGGCACGTACCGTTTAGAACATTGAAGGGGCACATACAAGATAAGAGACTGGCAGCTGTCTGCACGGTCCTCTAACCTGTTTTGTAGGATGCTTCATTAACCCTGCTAGTTCTCCACTGCAGTCCAGATGCTTGTTCCAGGATCCAAGAACTGCGAACCCGCCCTTGACCTGCTATAGGACAACCTGCATCATGAAATTCACAGCTAACTATGCTCTCTTCGTCCCAGCTCATAAAGAGGTGGGCAGCTGCCTGGAGGTGTTCACATACAGACTCACACTCTGAAAATTACAGCTGTGCACAACAGTTGGAGAAATCATAAATGTCCAAGATAATGGAATTGGTTGGGCTGATGTACTAGTTCAGACCTCACTATTTGTTAAGTGTTACAAATGGGACAGAATAACCAGTCCACAGATACTCTCCCTAATACCTCATAGCCCATAAAGGACCTAAAGACTTCAATAAATGGCATTACATCACAGGCCTGCTTACCGTTACTACCCTTGCCTAAGTAGTCGTCTGTACTAACCTATAACCGAGACCATCAGCTCTCTGGGAGGAGGAAAAGGATTGTATTATGCAAATGGGGCTTGAGAGAGGAAGATGAAAAATCCTGTGGATTACAGTGATGACAAACCAGAAAGTCTCTCATACCCACATGGATGTGAGGGACAGAAATGAAGGATTAGTGGAGTTATAGTTGGAAGTGAAGAAGCAAGAAAATGAAAGGCAGCATGAAGGGGAAAAAACAGTGAAAAGGAAAAACGAGCAGAGACAAACTGCTGAATATCTCTTTCCCCAAAGAGAGAGAATGAGCACCTTGGAAAAAAGGCAGAGTAGCCCAACACTTCCATGTTGCCATTGAAGGGTAAGGACCAGGCAATGCTCCTTACCCTCTGCAAGCATCTCGGCCATGGAGAGGACTGAGATCAGAGGAGATCATGGTGCAGCATATGGAAATATTTAAAGAAATGGGCAGGGACCAAACATAAGAACCAATGGAAAGTCCCTGGCTCTCACCCTTCTTTGGTGTTGACATTGGACCAAAGCTTTCAACATAATCATTGTCATTATATGAAATGGTCCTTGCCTCCTAGGGAGTAATATTAAAGACACGAACTATGAAAATGATTCAATCTAACATGTGAGTACACGCAGATCGAGGTGGAAGAATTTGGAAGTTATCAGCATGAGGGAGAGAGGCAGGAAACAATCTGGTGGAATGTTCCATAGGAAACAGTACTGAAAACAAGGCACAGCAAGATGGAGGGGTGGGCAGGGCACAGAGCAGGGTGGGCAAGGGCAGGATCAGCTAGTGGTATTTCCAGAGTAAGTAAAAATAAAAATTCCAAGAGCAATCTAAAAGGGGAGTGGCTGCTGGGCCCCTCATGCAAGGACCTGGGAGAGGCAGGGAGAAAGTCCGGGAAAGAGGCCGAAGCTGAATGGAGGATGCAGTAGAAACGTCATCAGGTCTGATGGGGGCAAGACCCAGTGCAGCCTCGCACAGCTCATGCTGACACGCATGCCTGTCAGAGGCTGGCACACCATCCTACTCCAATCCAGGATCTGAGTGCAGTCTGTCCTGGGGAGAACTCATAAATACTTACCTCTCTTGTAAGGCCAGAAAGACACAACCCATGTCACAAGCACAGGGCTCCACGTACATCTGGGCGAGCCCATCTCAGGGTTCCCCATTTCACCTGACCTTTGCACTTTATTTGCCAGAATCAGAAAAACAGACACCAGAGTCACTTTCTGTCCTTGAGCACCTACTGGATCTTCAGGGTTCACCGGAGGTCAACCTTCAACCTGCTCCCTACTGATTGCTCCAAGAGGTTTGAGCATCTGTATAAACCAAATATGCAACAGGCACGGGGGCTAACTGGCCCTTAATTCTACTGGGTCCCAGATTCAATAAGACAGTTACCTGTGCAGTGGACTGGCTGCCTAGAACAGAGATTTTGACCACTGATTATTCCCAAGATGTTGATTACCACAAACTGTAGCCTGGATGAAGAAGGACTTGAAAGCTACCCGAGCAGCTTCTTAGACTCCTTTAAGGCCAGTGACATCAATTTTATGATGTCTGTATCTATCTACCTGAAGTTTTTGCCTATCTCAAGGTACAGACACAAACCAAGTTGGCGTTGGCTACGAGCTTGTTATGTTCCTCCCCCTTTGTCCTCTAGGGGGAGCTGGATGATTCGTAAACCTGGTATTGGGCTTTATCTGAGCAAAGGGTGTTTAGGGGCTTTAGAACCTGCAGGTGTTTCTTCTCCGTCTGGCTTTGCAATTGGTAATGGAGAATAATGGCAACTGACTTGAATGCGTCCGTTTTTTAACGAAAATAAAAACAACAAAAAACAGTTTCAAATTGGTGTACCTATTTTTTCAGGTCTAAACAGGCAGGATCTGGCTCCATTTGATAATTTAAACAACTGAATTTGAAGTTGACTGGCAAACGACTTAAAGCTGAGGGAGCAAACACCTTCATGTATTATGATCTCTACCGAGGAAAGAAAGAAACTCATGACCTAGTTTAGGAAATCCTAGCCTGGCAGGATAGGGAGAAAGAAATATGTAAGCCTGTCTCAAACCATAGAACTGAGAGCAACTGGAACCAATGAAGGGGCTCTCATGCCTGTCAATTTAGGATTGGAACAGAAATAAAGAAGGACCTCAACTGCTCTACTTGGGAGACTTTCTGGGTCTTTGTGCGAGGGCCTGGGCAGACGTGGTGCAGAGTTCCGTGACTAGTGGGTCTGGGCTGGCTTTGAGCTCCTGGGTACTCATTAGAAGGCACCAGCTTTGGCCTCATTTACATGCTCCTGATCAGCATTTAGGCTATTCCTTAAGGAGCATCACTGACAGCTGCCTAACAGCAGAGTACAGATGGTATCACTCAAGGGGTTTCAGAAATGGAGGGACCCCCAGTGCAACCAAGAGCTGTGGATATTCATTCATCAAGAACTGTTTAGCTCTACTAACATACTTCTCTAAATGATAGAAAATACTTCTGTGCGGTAGGTGAGGTGGATCTGGAAAAACCAGAAGATGGAGAAGCTAAGGGTGTTGAGTCATCCTGTTTTTATTGTAGGAGAATCAACCATTAATTATTTCTACTCTTGCTGTTTTACATCAACTTGAAAGATATAAGTGCCACTTTTTGGAGATATAAGTAGGTATTGCTTGAAATTCTATGTGAATGCGATCAGTTACGGCCTTGGAATGGTGACTACAGAACTCAAGGGCAGGGCACATCTCCCTTATTCTGGAATTATATAAAGAGTAACAGGACTATGAGCACTGGATCTTGTGTAAACTTGGACCTTCTCAGGTCCTGAGAAGTTTTTTTTAGTAAATAACTATATATATTTTTGGCCATTGTAATAATAAATGTCTCTCCTAAAGTGCTCTAATTGCATATTAGGGATGCTTGCTCAGAGCAAGAGCCTTGGAGATCCACCTCTACCCCAGTGCTTCTGGTTTGCAGGTAAAGAAACCGGAGTTTCACCAGATGAATGCTTTGTATCATACATCTGGTAAAATAAGATCCTTGAAGGAAAAAAAAAGTCTGAAGCTGAGCAAGCGCTAGGTCATTATGGGCATGTGGCATCATGCACTTGCAGGGCTCAGATGCTCCACATCATCCCCAGGTGGCTACCCCGAGCAGCTCTATGTTCCCTACTGCTCTGCAGGCCTCTTCCACAGCAGGGAATTGACTCTTCTGGGTCGACTGCCAGTTCTCAGCACTCAAAGCTGCCTAGGATGGCAGTTGTTCCTTAAAGTGGCTAATGGAGATGCTGATCATTGCAGGGCATGGTGAAGGGAGAGAGGAAAGCAGTGAGCCGTGAGATGTAACTGGTGGCATGAGCTGATTCTAGCGGGGGAGTACCGAATATTACTGAGTATTTCAGGTGAAATAGGCTGGGGCAGGAAATCGATGTGTGAATTAATCTGCATTCTGCTGCAGAATGACTCAAACTGTGTTCCTTCCAGCGAAGGGCTGAGACAGGGAGACGCACCAGGCAGGAAAGTCTCTGGTCGTGTTCAGGCTTCCCCAGGCACCTCATGTGAGGCCTGCAGAGCTGGGATCCTTGTTTTAGCGTTTCCATCCAGCCCCTGAGGGTGAAACTACTGCTTGGAAAATCTTAGAAGTTCAACTGTCTCCAGTCTGCAGATACCTCCCCCCTCCCCCCACTTAAACCAGAGGCAGCACTGGTTCCCAGAAGGGCTGCGAGGTGCCCAGAGGGGATGCTGTGTAATCTGAGAGGGCCTATGAAATGGCAGAGGAGAGATGCTCAGCTCCTCTTCACACATCCTCTCTTCTTGAGGGGGTGGAGTGTGTGGTGAAATCTGGAGGGGTGGGCTTAGGCTCAATCACCCAGTCCTGGCAGGCATTTGGGGAACTGGCACACAAAGAGAGAAAGGAGATCTTTCCATACCTTCATCTCCTCCTCCATCTCTGACATTTTCCGCTCCAAGGCTCGCCTCTCCTGTTGAGAAACAAGGAGACTGTTGAACATCTACTGGGTTTAGAAGGGAGTCAAAATGCTGCCTCCTGGTTGACATGTGATCAGCAGAGCCACGTCTCAGGCAAACCTCATGCAGGAGACTAAGCACTATCCGATCCATGGGATGACACTACTTCACTGAGAGAAATCACAGGACCTAAACCTCCCCTCAGAATATTAGAAGTTAAACAAATGGCAGCATCAGGGTACTCTGGCTATTCTGTGCAAGCTGAAGATCTCATGGAATATTTCAAATGACTCCAAGTGACCAGGGCCCCTGCTCTCTATTAATAAAAGGCATCCTTATCTTCAGGAACGCTCCCCTCAAATTCCTAAGGAGCTGCTTCTCCCATGATGGGGAGCAGATGGTGAGTGGGGAAGTAGCCATCATTGTCTAGGAAGAAACAGCACCCTTCCCCCGAACCCATCTCTCTCCCAGCAACCCACTCCTGATTTAGCCTGAACTCTAAAGATTCTTAGATTAGATGAGATACCAACGAGTTTTTGTTATAGGCCAAGGAAATAAATTGTAAAACTTTGCTGCTTTCCAAATTAAACAGGAGAGATGGGAACATATTATACCCCTAGGGTCAAATCACAGCTAGGGTTCATCAATAAATCTGAGTTTTCCCAATCCAAGAATGTCAAATCCCAGAAAAATATTCTGAATGCAGTCAGGAGGAGGTCAGCAATTGAACTGGAACACCCCCTCCCCACCCCCAGTCAGAGTGAGGGAAAGATTCTGCTGGCTCATATTTCAAGTCAGAAGACCTAAATCAATGGCAGAGGGTCCTGCTGAAAACTTCCTTTCTGTTCAAGGTGACGGGAAGGGTAAAGAGACCTTGGTCGTGGGTGTGTACGTGTGTGCTAATTTACAGTAAACCAAAATATACTGTAGGTATGTGTGTGTGTGTGCAGTTCTGCCTATAGGCCAAACCAGTGCATGGGATGACCTTCCAAGGACACTTCCCACCCTAAGACTGGAGTAAGTGAAAAGTACTGAGCATCTGAAGAAGCCAAAAGGACTAGCAATCAAACTGCTGTCCAGAGTCACACGAAAAGAATTTATTATCAAGCTGGGAATGGAATGTGGCAGAACTCCCGCCTTCTGAAGACGAACTTTTTCCATTGGCATGAACAACAAAGTCAGAGAAACTCAGATGAAACAGAGGGGGGAGAGAAACACACACATACCCGTTTCTCCATCTCCAGCATTGATGATCGGTCAGAGGTCTTCTCTTGTTTCTGCTAGTGCAAAGTGAAGAGAAACAATGGTCACTTGGGTTGTCTGAGGGTCACTAGGAAGCCCGGTCTGGTTCAGCTTCACCGTCAAACACTCAGAAATAGATGTCAGGGCTTTGGGCTCTCACTGTAGCAGAGGGGCCCCTAGCAAACAGATTCTTTTTTTTTTTTTTTTTAAAGTTGTATTTATTTGACAGAGAGAGAGAGAGAGCGAGAGCAGGAACACAAGCAGCGGGAGTGGGAGAGGGAGAAGCAGGCTTCCCGCTGAGCAGGGAGCCCGATGCGGGGCTCGATCCCAGGACCCTGGGGTCATGACCTGAGCCGAAGGCAGACGCTTAACGACTGAGCCACCCAGGCGCCCCTAGCAAACAGATTCTGACGGATCTCTAAGCCTGATGTGATTGCCTCTCTGAAGTTCGCAGGATTCCCATCGGGCAGTAGAAGGCAGTGGCGGTGTTTCTTGAAATTTGGCACAGTCACCAGTGCAAAGACGCCCCCACGACAGCACACAAACACTTGGTAGCTCTTCAGCGCCGGCCGTCTTCTCACCGCCCCTCCCTTCTCCTGGTCTGTGAGTAATCTCACAACCCAGAGGAAATGGAAAGTGGCTTTTCTTCTTTGAAAGCTAGAGACTCATGAACTTGAGGGGCTAAGTCCCTGGCACTCTTCGAAGCAAACCCTTTGCACTCATTCTTTCTGCTTTGGGCACTGATGACGTTTCTCTTTTAAAGCAGTGGTTTGCACGCGTGGGGGGGCCCAGGGCTTCTCAGGAGCTCGTTCGTGCCATCTGCCCTGCTTTGCACTGAACAGTTCCACTTTTATCTCTTTTGTATACTGAGCTTCCAGGTGAGGTAAGATTTAACCTGAACAAAAGATTCGAACTTTCTTTTAGAACATCTTTGACTTTTGCTATAAATGTCACAGAAGGGCCAAAAACATTTAGCCACCAGAGCTAACAAGTAGAATTACTTCAGGTAGTGACTCTTGAACAGGGAATGGAATTGAACCTCAAGTTCCTTTTGGCCTTAGCACTGTAAAATTTCTTACATTTAAGAGACTACATTTAATAAATACAGGGTGATTATTTTTATTTTGCCTAGTACCATGCACAAGCAACATTTAATAAATATAGAAAGTATGCTGGTCTTCTAGCAGAGGTTTCTTTTTTCAGAATATTAAGGAATAGCTAGAACTAACAGTAAAACTCTGATTTCTGGCTCCTGTCCTGGGCTTTCACCTTCTGTTCTGAAGGTCAGGGCCATCTGCCTTTCCACTGAATATACTATGAAGCGGAAGGAAAAGAAAAAAGGCAGAAGTAGATCGTGGCGCTTGTTTCTATCCTCGTCAGCTTGAGAAGTACAGAAGCTGTCACTTCTACAGAGTGACCTTAACCAGTTCACTTCTACACAGAACTAGTTTTGTTTTGTTTTTTAAATCTTAACCCCCTTAGGGTTAGGGTGGACCTTTTATGTAAGACGTCGTGTGTGTCCGTGTGGTAAGGGGCTCCTTACAATGTGTGTGGCTGACGGGCCCTCCTTTCCGTCCTGCCGGACAGCTCCACTTGTGGTAAACAGCAGAGAACTGGTGTGTAGCACCGCTGTTTCTCCTGAATTTGTCACCTATATTTGGCAAAACGAAGTATATTCCGACACACCCAGCAAAGCAGCTGGCTAGAAAGTAAACCCTTTTCCCCAGTGAAAGGCTGATTTTATTTTCAGTGTCCTCTGTGCAAGTCAATGTCAGCAGCTTGTTAGCCTGCTCACTGCTCCGAAGCACGAGCTGGTGGAAAAGCCAAGAACCCCTAAAAGTCAAGAAATGTGCTGTCAGAAGAGCGCTTCTGGAGAGAGTGGGGGAGCAGGTGAAATTGGGTCTTCCTGTGGTTCCTCACATGACTGCTCCCCCAATTTTCTGTAAAATAGCCCCAGTAATTCCTGATGAGAAGCAGCAGAAGATCTGTATTAATTGATCACTGTCAGTTCGTGGCACTCCTCAGAATAAAAGTCGGCCTTAGGGATCTTCTGTGGGTGTGCTGTGAACGAGACATTCCACCTGGCTCAGTCAGGTTGGGGCCGGCAGAGCCCTTGAGGTTTATTTAGTTCTACCCCCGTGCCGTGCGTGTGTGCGCGTGCATGTGTGCGCGTGTGTTCTCCTGAGCCTGAGACCCACTTTTCCTGTCGCACTGAATCACTCTATGCTCAGTTGTCATCTGTGCCGCAGCAGGCCTTACAGATCCTCAGCAGAAGAGCCACGTTCAGCTACTCCAACCAGGCGGAGGGGGGCCTCTTCCAAACTGACAGGCAGTTCACAGGCCAGGCCATCCCCTGTGCACCTGACTGAGCCCTTCTCTGGAGAATGTGGGTGTCCTGACTGTCCTGCTGAAATCCCATGCAGTCTGTCCTGCTGTCTTCCAAGTGTTGGTCCATCCCATTCCAGAGGGGTTGCCGCAAGATGTTCAGAGGTATTTGACCACCCCTGCCCCCCAAGCCCCATGTATTCAGTACGGTACAATCCTAGCGTGTTAGGCTTTGCTTTTGGATTATATCATATGGCCAGAACAACTAGCCATCTCTGGTTTTCATTTATGCCTTCCCAGTATAGAGTCATTTTTACCTCAGTTCAGCTTTCAAAATTCTTAGTCACTGGGCATTCCAGGAGGGCAATAACTCAATAGGTTTCCTGTTAACTCAGCAATAACCCAAGACAGCACTTGCTTCGGCTTTCAGCTGCAGTGTTTGTCTCACTGGTGATGAGGTTATTGCCTCTAGTATCCTCTAAAGTGTTGCCTAATTAAATCAGGCCTGGCAGTAAAAGGAAATGGTTTATCTGGTCTGTTTGCCGCTAACATTCCTTATTTCTAGGCTGAAAAACGGTGGCGGCTTGAGGAGGTAACATATGCTGCAGGACAGAACCTTTGCTTTGGGACCTGACTGTACATTCTAACCTTTGTCCTTGATTTCTTTCTTTTTGAGAGAGAGAGAGAGAGCACAAAAGAGCGTGAGGGGCAGGAGGAGAAGGAGAGAGAGAATCCTAAGCAGGCTCCATGCCCAGTGTGGAGCCCAACTCCGGGCTCTATCTCACAGCCCTGAGATCATGACCTGAGCCGAAATTGAGTCAGACGCTTAACTCACTTAGCCACCCAGGCGCCCCTGTCCTTGATTTCTTATACGACCCATGCAAACCACTTATTTCTCTAGGCCTAATTTGCTACCTCTCTGCACTGGGTTTAATGGTGTCTTGCTTATCCCTCTCTAGGAGGTGACTGTAGATAAACTGAACTGAAACATGATGATCCAGACAGGAGACACTATCTAGGACTAATCTTATGATGCTGGTTAACACCTTTTTACTAAGAAATAAGTAGATAATCCATAATATTAAGTATTAGCATTCAGGCTGTTAGGACTTGTTCACTGAACTATCAGTTTTCCATTTTAAGTGAAATGCCAATTGAACCCTGAAATCAGATGAGAATCTCAGGGGCTTCTGTCTTCCGGTGTCTGAGGAGGGCCAATCTTAATTCCATGTCACTTCCCCTCTCTCAGACCCTAAGTTGCTTTGCCTCCTCACACTCACCCTGCCACCCAGGCTTTTTCCTTTTTTCTCTTACCTGGGCCATCTTCTCAAGCTTGGACTTTATATCTGCTAGCTCTAGCTGGGCCTCCTGAAGTTTTGTTTTCAATTTTTGGTTTTCGGACAGGGCACTCTCATAGAGCTGAGGGGAGGGAAAGAGAATCAGGTCACCTACCAGGCAGGGCTTGCAGGATTAGCACTCACACAGTTTCATCCTATGAGAACCACCCCCCCACCCCAAACCATTATTGTGGGACAGATGGAGAAGATGGAGGAAGTCTAGGAAACAGAATATATTCAGCCAATTGGTTCCTTGCTTCTTAACATTGGTGAAGTCCCAGGTGCTGGACACAAACAGAATGGTGCTCCAACTTCAAAAATGTTAATCTCTGGGGGAAAAAATAGTCACTGTCGTTCCCCATACAAAGAGAATTATTTTTTTAGAGCCAGTCTAGTGTGTATATTGATTTTAGTCAAGTTCTGCTTAACACGACATTAACAAAACAAACATTTCATTAACAAAAATGGTTTTTTCCCCTGGCATCTCAAGCACTTGAAAGGGAAGGTTTTCAAGTCAGCCCCTGGAGCTAGGTACTCTTCTGCAAGAACCAAAGGCAATGAACTGTAAAGTGTTTTAAGCCCCCAACAAACCAGATTATCATTTACCATCACCAAGAAGTATTTGGTTGACATTCACAGGACCTCATTAAAAGCACATGTCTGTTAATAACATGAGTCTTACCAAATGACTCTCTGGGCTCAGACACACAGCACTACTTTTACTTCCCCTTTCTACAACTGTCAATCTTTACTTTTTCCTACACTTCTAAATATCTGATTCGAGGCATATATTTACTGCACTAAAAACAATATATGAAATGGTCTGTGTTTAGCTGGTAGAGAGGTGGAACAAACCAAGACACCTGAAAGGAATTAACTGCTACTCTTTATCACGTAAAGCACTTTTCTTCTGCTTCATGGGAACTACAATCATTTTTCCACATTGGGGAAAAGGCTGAGAGGTTTACGTGTTGTAACCCAACAACAGCAAAGTTGAAAAGGGAGCCTACTTTTTTATAATCCCTGCTGCTGTCCTCCTCCACGCGGCTGGTCAGGGTGGCAAGGCGGGCCTCCCGGGCCTCGCGGCGGGCTCTTGCTGAGGCCCGGTCACCGTAAGAATCGCTGCTTGTAGGGTTACTACCTCCTGATTCCAACCTGTGGGAGATACATTAAAGGTAAACATTGGTTTTAAGAATGAAGAGAGGGAGGAAGGTAATGCTTCAGGGGAGTTTGCACCTTTTCTAAGAGGCACTTGAGCGCCTTGGCCAGAAACAACGCACATTCCTTCCCTGAATCTCCTCGGCCAGCATTCTCGGACCTCGGGGCTAAGCTGCGCCAGCTTGGAGGAGGAGGCCATCATTTGCCAAGAATGGAACTTACTTGAAAAACTGGCGGTTTGGACCCATGTGCCAACTTAAATCTTAGAGCTTTTCAAATTAGTTTGGGGTTGAACAGCTTTCCTCAAAGAGTGTGCTTTTAAAAGCAGAAGTTTTTTTTGGATCTCAATGGCTCTCAGACAATGATTCCAACGAACTGTCAATGAATCAGAAACATATGGACTTGGGAGTTCAGAGCTGGAGGGCGTGGGGGCAGAAATGACAACGAGGGCATGGTGCATATGTTTTTTAGGTACACTGCAGGTTTGTTGGAATCTCACACATTTCAGGGTACCACCTCCGTGCCCAAACAGCTATTTTTCTACCCTCTCTTCTCCAGTCCACGTTGCGGCTGCGAGCCTGTGATGAGGATTTCTATGTCTTCCAGCAGTTGAGCTCTGAGAGTCGATGGTGGCCTCATTTCCAGGAGTGGTAAGTTCATTAGTGGAAAGGTCTCTCAGCTGACTATCTGTTTAAGCGTTACAACGATCATCCTGATTCTTAACAGTGATTTACATTTTTCTCAGACTTTGTTCTTTCCAAATGAAAACGTGGCCCACAAGACTGCTACGTACAAACCAGCCCTGCAGAGCTCTCTCTCCCCGAACTGGGATGGTGTGCAGAGTCACAGCTGTGGGACTTCCATCTCAAGGCTCTGTCCTGTGGTAGCTATTGCCAAAGTTGGGGGTGGGGGAGCTGGAATACGTATCAGAAGAAGTAGAGGAGCAATAAGGAGGACACAGTGGGGGAGAGGCAAAGCTCCTAATGGCATTAAGGGCCACTTTGTCTTACAGAGATGATAAGTCCTACAACATTCTTCACAGCTTTCTTTTTTTCTTACACTTTTTTTTTTTTAATTTGTAAATAGAAACCTCTTCACTGACTTTTCTGATTACAAAAGCAATACATGCTTGCAGAAAAATGTAAGTAGTACCAAAGTGTCTAAAACAGAAAGTGAAAGTCACTCCATAATCCTTCCCAAGAAATAACCCACTATTAACAGTTACTTCATATCCTTGCAAAAGGTTAAACACATAGATACATTAAAATGTATATATTTCTATAAATAAAACCAGATAATACATACTGCTGTCTACCTCCCCCTCCTCCCTCCACTTATCACTACGCTCGGAGGCCTCTTACCATGTAAGTAAACAGATCTGTCTCATTAAAAAAAAAAAAAAATGACCGCACAGTCTTTCACTGTGTGATGTATGGTAATTGAATCTTCTAGTGACAAGACACCTATATTATTTTGAACTTTTTAGCTATTAGAAATGATGCTACAGTGAGAAGACGTGTCTATAAATTTTAGTGCATTTGCCCGATTATTTTCTTAGGATAAAATCTTAGAAGTGGAACCCTTTGGTCAAGGGGTAAGTCTATTCTAAATTTTGATATATATATTGTCATACTGTCCTTCAGAGAGTTTAATCCTTTCTAATCCAATAGGAGAAACATTGTCGTTAATTTTAATATTTGTAGATCACTAAGAAGGTTCAGTATCTTTGATTATTTATCTTCGTTTTTGAATTGTCGATTCAGAGCCTTTGTTAATCTTCCGCTTGTTACACTGTGGGAGCATCCTATATAGCAAAGCTTTTAAAACTATACAACATAAGCTGCAAATATATTTTCCCACTTTACTTTTTGTCTCTGTTTATGGTGTCTATTACTAGCAGAGATTTTACATTTTATGTAACTAAATTGGACAATTTTTACCTTTATGGTACCATGCCTGGGAGAGTCTTTCCTATATAAAGATTACAAATATTTTCTTCTATTGCTTTTGTAGTAAAATCATTTTCTCTTAAAAACTGTAATCCATCTGGAATCTGGTTTTGTTTTTGTTTTTTGGTATGGCTTCAGGGAAGGATCTGTTTTCCCAAACAGACGGTCAGTTGTGCCAATGATCACTTATTAAATAACTCTTCCCCCACAGAGTTGACAAATCACCTTATACATATGACTTTTGGGGGACTATACTGTATTCCACTGATATCTTTGTTTATTCTTGAACTAATACCCCACTGTTTTAACCATTAGTTTTTTGGCATATTTTGAGGTCTATAGGGAAAGTCTCTTTTCATAAACGGCTATAATAATGTAACAGAATCCACAAAAAATTAACTATAGCAAAATAACCGCTCTCCACCAATTTTGCAAAACTAATTTTCTGCTAGGTTAGATGTAAATTATTTATCTTCAGCTGGTGCCTGGTGAGAGGGTGAGCAGAGGAAGAATCCATGCAAGTTTATACATTTTGAAATATATCATTAAGGTACAATAAGCTCAATTATCAAACAAATTATAAGACTCATTTTCCCTATGCTATCCCATAACTACATTTTCCCTCAATTTCTTCTTAATTTCTCTATCAAAGAAAAAGTGGAAAGGGAGAGGTTCATACTTTTGGCTCCGCAGTCTTTACTATTTTTTATTTTGTTCTTCAGGAAGATCATTTTTGTATCCTCAGATGCTAGGTGAAAAATTAGAAAGGATCATTCCCCAAATTCTGATCTGCTTCCTTAATTTTTCAGCAATTGCAACACTGGTCTTTGGCTCTTCCAATAAATTATTACGGAGCACCATCTAGGTACAAGGAATTGTGTTAGATCCACTATTAAATGACAGGGTCTAAACTCAATCTCAATGTGGCATGTATGCTGCAACAAAGTCTTCTTGAACCACCAGGTCAGGCTAATGGCCTCTTCTCTCTGCTCGTAATACTGTCCATACCACTACCCTGGCCCTTACTGAAGGTGAGGATAGGGTTTTATTCATGTTGTTTCTGTAGCACAGGGCCTGGTAGATGTTGCAGGAAAATTAATGTGGCGGAAGTATACAAAATGAATTGGAAGGAGGAGAATTTGAAGGCAGGAGGTGAGTTGAAGAGCTACTGCATTAACTTAGGCAGGAAATAATAAAAGTCTGAACTACTGTGGTGGCTGAGGAAATGAAAAGGAAGGAAAGGATGTGAGGAATATGAGCACATGATATAAAGCTAAGTTTAATTAGACATGCACTTCTCACAAGTATTAAGCATGCATATAAAACAGGGAAAGGTCTTACCTAGAAAGTCTTTCATGCTAGAGAAAGGAAAAGACAAAACAAAAACAAAACCAGCATTAGCAAGAGACTGATAATTACTTCCATTTACAAATGCACTTTTCAAATCAGATGTCTCAACTTCACAGGTGGAGATATGGGTGCGATTTAAGAAAAGCAATTCAATGACTGCGCAAAAGGCTACTTAAGCTAGTCTTCCGTGACTCAGTAGATTTGAGACTTTGGGGAAAGCATCTTTTTTAACTGGAAGTCAGCAAGCTGTAAAATGATCACAAACTGTACCCCCACCCTTATCCACCACCCAGCTAACAAACCATGCTTGTGCTCTAGGAGGTACTGATTTTCTGCGCGGTATTTGGCCTCTCTGGATCTCAATATCCATTCTATTAACTTCCTTCTGTTCACAAACCCCCAACCCTGCCCTGAGTGAATACTGTAATCTACAAATGTTAAAACTCAGGACAGTTCCTCGCTTTAGACCTCTGGTGAAGGGTGAGCAAGAGAGTGCAGGGGACGATTAGGTCCTGTCCTAGTCCCTAGGATGGTGGTTAGAAATGAAAAGAATACGAAAGTACTTTGAGGTCTCAGAAGAAAGGACTTTTGTAGATGCAAACTGTAAGCTTGGTTATCTATCGATGGTCTATTGATGGTTGTAAAAACAAACAACAAAAAATGATGATGTCGACATTTTACATTTTAAAAAAATCATAGATGACCATTACCCTCTTATTTCCACTTTTTTTTTTTTTTTTTAAAGAACTCAGGCAAATAAAAACTCAGTTGATTTGAATGTATTTACTTATTTTCTCTTTGGAGATACTGAAGAACAACAAAGTCCTCAAGGACACACAAAAAAATGGGAGAAACAAGGGCCCAATAATCTACAAAACAAATAATAAATCCTTTGACTACTGAGGAGTCGCTCAATGACACTGCTTTGTTGAAGAAGCATTAAATGGTCCCTGGAAGCCACTGGTTTGTCAACCAACACAACATGACAGCACAATATACACCACCCCCTAAAGCTGTCCAGAAGTGTTTGCTGAAAGGAATTCTCTCTCTAAACCACGAGTATACTCATCAGAACTCTTTCGTGGACTTTTTCAAAATGTACATATCCCAACATCAACCCTAGAGACTCTCTTTCCCTAGGTCTAGAGTAGGGCCTTCTTACATGTATTTTTTTTTTTAAAGATTTTATTTATTTATTTGACAGAGACACAGCGAGAGAGGGAACACAAGCAGGGGGAGTGGGAGAGGGAGAAGCAGGCTCCCGCGGAGCAGGGAGCCCGATGCGGGGCTCGATCCCAGGACCCTGGGATCATGACCTGAGCCGAAGGCAGACGCTTAACGACTGAGCCACCCAGGTGCCCCATTACATGTATTTTTTAAAAGTCCTCCAGGTGATTCTGTGGTACAGCCCTGGTCAAGCACCACTGGACTAAACAAAGGCTTTTTTAATGTGAGGATGTGTCCCACTGGAGATGGGGAAGACAGTAAGAAAAGTATATAGTGCCTCTTTAGCATTCTCATACACTTGGGAGTTGTAGTGTCCTAAAACTTACGAATCTGGAATTGAGGAATTTCCCTGTCTCACATTTATAACTGATCTTCAGGGAGAGTCATATGCCTAGCCCACACTATCAATGACTACTTTATCAACATTAACTAAGGTTGTTTCTCTTACTTGAATCCTATTTTCGAACAAAGAAACTAAATTTTAATCACCTCTCGAGAATTACTTAATGTATAAACACGTTTCAAGTCTACTCAAGTGAAAACTGAGATGCTAGACTGTTGGCGATGCCCACTCACCAGTTTAGTGATAAGATCCAGCCTTTAAGGCATCTGGGTGAATTCAAATTCATATCCCAGGAAAACTGTAAACTGACATGGCAAAGATTCATGAATTAAGAATGAACTCCATACCAGCAAATGTTAAGGATCTAGTGAATTTAAGAACCCACTGTGTGCAAAGCCCTGCAGAAGAGGCACCAAGGAAGAAGACACAGGATAAGCTGCGTGAGTCAGGAGAGCACCATGAACATAATCAACAAGCTTGTCTGAAGCAAGGGAAGGAATACATGTGAGTAAGTGCTAAGGAGGTAAGGGTGGTAATCAGTGGGCTCCAACTACAAAGGCTTCCTAAAAGTCATGAATTTTGAGAAGAGAAGGTTAGAGAAATACAAAGACATATATCCATACATTTAAAAAAGACACGTTGTTATGGGGGGGGCGTTCCTTACCGGTGATCCATGCAATTATTCCCAGTTACATCCTCAGTGCCAGAACACGATGGGTGCTCAGTGAAGACTCACTGAACTAAACTGTTAATGTTTCTGGGAAAGAGTGTGATGTCCTTGGCTGGACCTGAGCACTAATTGTTGCTTTGACATCTTCTAGCTATGTGACCTTGTGCAAGTTACCAGCTACTCTTATGGTAAAAATTAAATGTGACAGTTATGAGGAAGTACATTCTTAAAATGTCAGCTTCCTCTCCTGCCCTGCCCCCCTCCCCCATTCCCTTTCTGGTTGTAAAAATACTATATTGGCTGCTGATGTCAGAGTAGTAAGTCAACTTAGGAACTTTGATTCAGGGAATTGAGCTCACAGACAACCAAATGAAACAATTTAACAATTTAGGAAACCATTTACTTCCTCTTGCTACTTCTAGGCAAAGCTGCCTTTTTCAAACTTCACTGTCCATATGGGAGAACCGTTCTCCCCCCGCACCCCGCCCTTGGGAGAACTATTCTTGTCAGTCTCTCCAAAGACAGAACTGCCACACCATCTCTTAGGTATGGAAAAGGACCCATATATAATCAAACTGCTCTGCCTTGTGCCTTCTTTTGCTTCCTCCTAACTGAAATAGAAGTCTACCCTGCATGGTATTCACTGACTGAGACCTGATTCATTTACTGACAAATCACTTTATCTATTGACTTTGTTATTCCTAAAATGTGGGACCTCACTTGAAAATGCTTTAGTGTCCTCTTTGTAAATACCTAATTTGGTGGGTAAGATTTTAGCTACATTTTCAGCTTTAAGTTCAGCCAGCCCTGTAGACTCTGGCAGTTGCCTCTATAGTGAAGAAACAGTGTTTCTTTTCACTAAGACAAGGAAATTGGAATTTTACCAGGTATCAGTTTTAGCCATTATATAGATATCAAAGCACGCTAATCATTTCCACTGATTTATTCCTATAAGAATGACATATAATTAGCCTTTTTCATTTAGGACAGTCTGGAAACACTACGAAGCAATTTATGTCCTGTTGTCACCCCCAAGAAAGTTCTCAGACAGATATATGACAGTATAGTATGGCTGGATATGCCGTACGGCGGCCACGGAGGAGGTTGATATAAAATTTAAACACTTAAAAACAAAAAAATAGGTTAGAGCTACCAAGCAGCAATTGGGTTCCTGGATATGAAAAGGAAGATTCCACAGGGTTTTCTAGAGGCCTAAACAAATCTCTCCACAGATGACAGCACGCAGAGGAAGGTAATGCTAAGGGTGCTCAAACCTGGGCAAGCTATACCAGTTCTTGTCCCTACAGGCATACTTGCAGATGTTTCCCACAGACAGCCAAGTAGGAAGCTGATGAATGACACCGATTTCTGCCTGCCAGGAGCAACTAAAAGCAAGTATCACAGTCTGCTGTTTATCATTTTTTTAAGGCATGTTAAGATTTGTGTTATCAATTGGTTTTGGGGTGAACTTTAATAAAAAAGTATCTAGGTGATGAGTGATCCAGCAGACATGAGGGGAGACGATGTGCCTAGATCCAGATATCCGAGAAAGGAGGACTTCCAAGTTAATCCTTGATCTTTCCTCACTACTTCTGACACTCCCTCCCCCCACCCTGCCCACCCCCTTGCTTTTACCTAACTTTTGGAGCTCTCTGGACTTCTTGGGGCTTTTTTTTTTTTTAATTATAGCTTTCAAGGGCTACCTTAGCTATGTCCTGGGAAGGTCAACCCAACCAATTAGAGGACGGCATATAAACCTCATGAACCAGGATGTGGGTATAGTAGAGGTAGCATATTACCATAACACAGTATCATTTCAAAGAAGGACGACAACTGGGATTTCTAAAGGCGCTGGTGTTCTCATTGTAATAGAAATTAGCTTAAGAGGAGTGCTCCTATAGGGCTGAAAGGCAAGCCAGCTCCTATAGGGCTGAAAGTATATAGGACATGGGGTACCTGGGTGGCTCAGTTGGTTAAGCAGCTGACTCTTTATCTCAGGGTTGTGAGGCTGAGCCCCATGTTGGACTCCGCAGTGGATGTGGAGCCTGCTTAAGATTCTCTCTCTCCCTCTCCACTGCCTCCCCCCAAACAACAACAACAACAACAACAACAACAACAACAACAAAACATATACAGGACTTAGGGCGCAATTTCCCAGCTTCTGATAAAAAACCTTTTCAGATTATACTTCCTCATTTTTTCACTAGTGGAATACCTCTAGAAACTATTGTTTTGCTTGGCTTCTTGATATTCTAGATAATCTGGTATTTGATGAAAAAACACTGGTTAGACTTAGGGAGAGAAAAGTTTGGTTTCTTGGGTCAAAGGAGCAGAGCTGCTGAATTGGTAGAGGCTTAACTTCAATTTTCCCTTTTCATCCTGCTATCGATCAAACTAAGCATAGTTCACTGTTATCCTGACACTGCTTCTCATTCTAAAAAGCTGCCTGCCATCCCTGCAGGGAGACTACTGACTGAATGTGGAGAGAGGGAGACAAGATAGAGTGGGAGTTTGCCTAAGTGGTCTCAGGGGAACAGCAAGCCAGGAAGTGACATCATAAAAGGCAAGCAGAACACAGGCTAGGGAAATGAACACTGAAGGTTTTCCAAGAGAAGATTCTAAGAAGTCAGACTAGTGGGCAGCAAATAAGGAGAAGCCCTACAACAGAGGGCTCAGGGACCCCAGCCAAATCTAGGATCTTCTGGAAGCTAGGAATGTGAGTTCCTCTTACCTTTGTTCTGGCAATAGCCCTATCTTTCTCTGTTGGG